GGTTCCCTGCACAGGAACGCCACCTGGGTTGGGCGCACGGCCTCCTACTGGGAGAAGGGTTGTTCTCTAGGACGCCGATCTGCCCCTGGAGGCACACACACCTCAGTAGGCTGTTCACGTATAACCCTTCTGTGCCCCGGGCAATGCTAGCCCTCGGTGCAGGGGATCTGGTCTGCAGGTCTGACCTTGGGTCCCAGAGTTCAAACTGTATCCCCACCAGGGAGAGGATTTCAGGTCCCAATTCACCCACAGGGAGCCCAAGCTGGGTCTATGTCTCTCAGTGTCTGAGTCGGCACCGTTCTCCTGGGAACACGGTGCCAGCAGCACCTGGGAGTGCGGGTGGTTAGGGAGCTCACAGTCTGAGTTCCCCTGAGTCAGGTGTAGGGTCCCAAACAGGAAGGTCCCGTTCCCTGGAGATGCCTCTGGCTGGTGGCTGTATTGTCTCTCTGGGCAGCCGCGGGTAGGGTCGGCAGAGGGGAGGAGGAGGCAATATGGCGCCTGCCGGCGGCTCGGGTCTGTACACACGGAGGTGCCCAGAGAAGTTGGGAACCTGGTCCACGTCTGCTACAGACTCACCATTGGCAGGTGGCGGCGGCTCTCGCTGGTGTCCCAGGTCTCTCCACCCGCTGGGGAGCCACCAGTCCCAATGCAGGGGAGGGAAACAGCAAATCCACCTACCCTTGCCGCTGGTCTCGGCTGCTCCGGTGGTCTCACCTCAGTTCTCCTCGCAGCCTCCTCCCGTGGAATCTCCCGGGGTCTCAGGTACCCCTCCTTCCGGCCCTTGTCGCTGTATTGCTCGTTCTTCTTGCTTCTTCTCTAATTTCTGCTAGAATCTGTCTTTTCTGCAGAGACAATCTGTCTGGCGGTGTTATTCGTCCGCCATCTTGATCCGGCCTCTCCCCATCAGTTTTTAAATCTATTTACAAAGTGTTATTTTACTACTTCTACTTTTAAATACATCGAGCACTTCTAAATATCTAGAAAGACTAGATATTTCATATAAGAACTTGTCCACTATGTACACAGCACTGTTAAATAAAACTGCACGCACATAGCAATGGTTATAATCTGAAGTATCGTCTAAATATGACCATTTTGGCCTTGAACCATTCCATTTCCTTCTCTCTGCCTTATATCCAGTGGACAAGTACAGGCATATGTAATGCTTAGAAATGGTCGAACAAATTCATATCCAAAAGTAATTTACAGAGGATGAGCTTTCCTATGAATTTCAACACAAAGTGTACAAAATGTGCTGATTTTACTAACTACTTTATCATACACTGGCAACCTCTTTAACATCTAGAGACTAGATATTGCAAAATTAGGACTCACTTATCCATTATATCCATTATGTATATTCATATATACACACAGCAAAACAAAATGCACAAAACATAAGAAAACTGATATCTGATAATGTCCTTTTGCCAATTCCTTGTCTCCCACCTCCTCCAAACTATTGAACGAGTATAGATGGTACTATACTGCTCACAGACATGGTTTAACAATTCTATTTCCAAATGACAGTATTTCCTGTGAACTTTAGCAAAAAGATATTTACAAAGTGATATTTTACTACCTCTACATTTAACATACTTTGGGAACTTCTAAACATCTAGATAGACTAGATGTTTCGGGTAAGGATTTTATTTGTCCACTATATACACAGAAGTTGTGAATAAACTGCACACATGTAACAGTTATAATTTGAAAGTGTCTTCAAAATATGAACATTCTCGCCTAGAACCCTTCCCTCCTCCACCAACCCAGTGGGCTATTAATGCTCAGATTTTTCAGAAGACAATCTTTCCTAAGAATTTAAAAACAAAAATGTACAAACTATATTAGTTTACTAATTCTACTTTTGTCATACACTGGCAACCTCTTTTAACATCTAGAAAGACTAGATGTAAATTAGGACTTGTTTGTCCTTTATATACACTATATACACAGGTAAGACAAAATGCACAGACATAGGAACTATGGTTAATCTTGCCTCACTATAAGTGCACTGGCATAGAGAGCTCTTCCTTGTCCTCCCTCCTCCCCTGAACCCCTGCACAAACACAATGTGTACTACTCAAGAGGTGGTTTAGCCATTCCCCCCTAAAATTTCATATGAATTTTAACAAAAAGGTATTCACAAAGGGTATTACTACTTCTATTTTAACACATATCAGGCACTTCAGAACATCTAGAAAGACTAGATATTTCAAAAAAGTACTTAGTTTTGTGAACTATGTATACAGTAATGAGAAATAAAATGCAAACACAAAACAATGCTTATGATATGAAAATGTCTTCTAAACATGACCAGTCTCGCACAGAATCTTCTCTTCCTTCTCAAGGTTTTCCACTCCATGTCCTTTAACCCACTGAACAAACGTGAACAAGTGCCACTTCCAGAGGTGGTCTAACAATACCATTTCAAAAAGTCATTTCCAGAATACATTTTTTTCCTATGATTTTATTTTTTTTTAACAAATGGGCATTTGTAAGATGTGTTATTTTCTAACTCTACTTTATCATACGTCGGCAACTTCTTTACATCTAGAAGGATTAGATGTAGTAAACGTTTTCTTTTAAAAGGTTGGGGGGAAAGTTGAGAGCAGCTTTTTCATATTATATACACAGGCCTTCTTCTATAATCGGCCAGTAAATCTTCCAAAGGGTGGTGGGCATTTCCAAATGTGGTTATGTTTTTTTCCTCTGTCTGGTGGCAGAACGAAGACCGCCCGCCCGAAGGCCCGCTAACCGCTCCCCGCGTCGTCATCCCGGGCTCCGCTCACCTTCCAGGCCCGTTAAGGCCTTTGTCCGTCCTTGTCAGGACTAAGCAGGGCGCGCCCTTTTGGCACCCAGCTCCACGGCCCAAGAAGGTGAGCGAGCTTGCGCCCACAGACCGGCCTTCTCGGGCTCTCCAAGCCCTAACGGCCCTCCGCAGCGTTTGGCGGTCGCCATTCTTCTCGCCCCGCCACACCCGCCGCCTCCCGAAGGCGCCGCGTTCTGGAAGCTTGGAAGGGGCTGAGCCTCGGCCGGGCAGGGCTGGGCCAAAAGACCAGGCGGCCGGCGGAGTCCGGCCTCAGAGAGGCCGCCGCCATCACCAGGTCACCGAGGTGGGGTTGCCAGAGACGCTCGCCGCTGCTTCTAGGCCGGAGGGCAGCCACAGCGAGGGCAGCCACAGCGAGGGCTCCGGATACCTGCAGGGCAGAGGCCGCGGCCCCTCCCGGGGTCCCCCCAGCTCACCCGGAGCCGGAGGGCCTGGAAGGCCCAGGGCGCCCAACGGGCCCCGCGGGAACTGGCCTCTGCGTGTCTCACCGTGCTCTCTCAGAAGTGTGGATTCTTCTCTTTTGTTTCTTGCTTGACACTGACTGGAAATAATAGGAAAATATAGAGGTCCTAGGTAAAAAATATACATGTGGAAACCCAAATAACCTGTATTATTGCAATTTTGGTTTTTAGCACTAGTTTTATTCTGTCATAGCATGTAAAAGACAAGCCACAAAAATAATGATAAGTCTATATTAATGGGTACAGAATATATAAAGATGTAATTTGTGACATCAATAATATAAACAGTGGACTTCTGGTAAGATGGCCGACCAGAGATACCAGCTGCCAGAGCATCTCAGTAGGAAGAAGTTTTAGATGAAGGAGCAAAAACGAGTACACAGGGCGCATAGATCAAATGTGGGTCTGAAGGGTGGGTGCCATAAACTTCAGGAGATTCCACGGGACAAAGTTTCAGTGCAGAACAAGAAGGAGCAAGATATCAGCAAAGACGAACCCATGAGAGGCTTGGAGTCCTGTGAGAAGGGTGGGCAGAGTGATTTCTTTCTCTCTCCTTTGCACCTCTGGAAGTTTATGGGCTCTGCAGCTGCTGGAGAGACTTTCTCAACACACGAACACAGAGGCTTCTGCCGCCAGAGAGCTGGGCACTCCTTGTGGACATGGCACCAGGCTCTAAGCTTCACTGGGGCCCTTCCCACCTCCATAGATCCATGCAGGGACAGCAGGTGCCATACTGCTTCTCCATCCACCATGCACCTTTGTCCTCCCCAGGAGTCTTCAAACCTCAGGTCTCATCCTGCTTGTTCCCACACAGACATTTCCCAACTCCAGCCCAGACTGCAGGAGCTGCAGGTGTTCTGTGGGTTCTGGGTGGTCTGTGTGACCCCAAAGCCTGGATATTCTGGGCAGCATGCCTTCCGGGAAGTAGGTTAGAGATGACCAGAGTGCCTGTGCACATTCATTCAGACTCTCTTTCTCCTCTTCCCCTTCCCCACCAACTGTGGCTGAGAGAGATATATGAGCCACCACACCAAGGCTTCCACAGAGAGTGGGGCCCAGGCCTTTCCTGGTGCAGCACATCAAGAGGTGCTCAGACTGTGATCTTGCTGCTTTCCAACCCTCCCTCATGCTACTTGGCTGGAGGAAGCTCCATCAAGCAGGGCATGCCCAACAGTGAAGGGACATTGATCCTGCTCAGGTATCCTGTGGGTGACTTGGGTTCATAGCACTTCTCCCTGGTATGGTCAGGGATTGACCTTCTTGATCCAAGGAGGTAAGGAAGTCCACATGAGCAGATCAAGGGGACAGTGTAGTGTGTGTTCTAGGCGTGGCATGCTCTCTGGGTACCCCCTTCTCCCATGGGAGGACCGTACTCTCAGCTCAGGCTGGGATCCTGGGTGGGGAACCTCCTAGACTACCTCACAGTTGGCGGGGAGCTCAGCCGGCTTGGCCCCTGCCTGCCAGCAGATTGCAGAGACAGACTGTGGAGCAGAGGAGGAGGGAGAGGAGGGAGACCCACTGCAGAGTATCAGCATGTGAATCTTAGATAGACCTCCCTCCACAAGCAGTCTTTCTGGTTGGGTGGGGCCCCTTCAGCTACTCCCTCGCAGCTCTGTCCAGAAGCTGGGAGCAGACCTTTGAACACTGCCAAAACAGCTACGTTGGCAGCTTTTGTGGAGCCTTAGGGCAGGCTCACGCAAGCTAACCCCATCCATTGACACTCCGCAACCTGCTCCTACTGTGACAGAGAATAAGGACTCATGCGGAAGATCCAGGGCCCCAAGCAACACCTAAAGATTTCAAGTGCTTCTCCTGAGGGACTAGAGCCAGTCACAGGACCCAAAAATATCATTGAAGCTTGTTCCTTCCAGCAAGCTCCACCTACTGACAAGGAGGTCAATTTGCACGGCCCTCTATAGCATTTACTGACTCAATAGTACAGGATGTGTTTAGGGGTCCATGCAGTGTGTGAGCTTCTATGCTTGCTTATGCGGCCACTAGGAGGAGCTGTTAATATGGATTTCAGGGCTCTTTCTCCATGCTTGGAGGGATGGTCCTGAATGGAGAGATCAAGTGGTGTAATTGCTGAGGTCTCTAGCCAGGTTTTTCCTTCCCTGTCCACAATCCTGGGCACTTTCCCCTTTGATAGGTCCACTTGTGTTTCCTCTGCACCCACAGTTCGTGTGTCGGGCCTCCTGACATGATTTCCACATGCCAGTGGTGGATAGGGGGATCTCCAATTCTGCACCCCTTTTCAACCACTAGACCCCAAGAGAAGGAGGGCGGGCCTCTCTATCCCCAGTAGTCTCTGCAAGTTAGATGCTCCCCCCAGGGGAAGGGGAATGGAGCTCACCTACAGAGCCCTGCTCTCTTGAGGTCCTCCACACCCTCCAGGTGGGCACAGGCTTTCACTTGCCACCCGAACCTGGAACTGGGGTCTCACTCCCACACTGCACCATCTGCCATCTGTGCTGTCAGAAATGAATGTGCCACATGCCTGTGCCAGGAGGGTAAGAGACAGAGGTTGCCCTGCCAGCTGGAGATGGAGACACATCCTCAGCAGCGAAAGTAGGTCATGTGGCAGAGAGAACTCTACCGGTTGCTTTGGATGGGGGCTGCCAACTTTCTGCAATGTTGAGTTGGGGGCACCTATCTGCCCTCCTCTCCAAACCCCAATCATGGCAGCGTGGCCACCCTCCTCTCCATGCCTCTGTGGTGACCATGCGACTGAGGCAGGCTCAGATGGAGGTCCTTGTGGGGAGCCCAGGCCCTCAGCATAAGGCACTTTGGTGGTTGCTGTGGGGTTGTGTGGCCCTGCACACACGAGTGCCTTAAGCCATAATTACATCCTGGGATGCCAGGAGTGGAAGAGGTGCAGAGGAGGGGGTGTCCAGATGAGGGACTCCAATTCTTTGGTCACTCGTGGCAATCCCCCATGAGAAGAGTGCCCTGTGTCCCATTGCTGGTATGAGGCATCTGGGTGAGAAGAAGAAGAAAAACCCCTTAGACTTTCATGGGCTCCAAAGGCCCTGGAGTTATTTCATGCCAGTTACTCCCTTCTATCCTCCTCTCTCTCCATTGCTTAATTCCTCCTGGTGGTGATTGCAGACTCCACTGCTGTCTGTCCTGGTGGTCCACTTCTGAGCAGTAATCACTCTCTGCTCTACTCAGTTCAATCCTTAACTATTCTGCCAGGACAGTCCAACAAGCTTTGTCTCTAGTTGGCATTCTTGGCTCTGATGTATTTCCTTCAAGCTTTACTGAACAGGATTCATTCTAGTTGTCTCCCTTTTTGAATCAGTGGCTGGCTTCTCCAATAGTGAGAACCCTGGTTTCCATCATCCTTAATATATTTCTTATTGAATCAGCATCCTTTACATAGCCACCACCCATCCCTCCCCACTCACAGATGTCTTCTCACCTCACTTGGGCTCTCCACACCCTACGTGGGCTCTGGCTCTTCTTGCAGGGTCCACTCTGCATAGCCCCCTCCTCCCCTTGCTTGGCTCCTGAACCCAGACCAGGCTGCCCCTGCATGTGGACACCACTAGGACTCAATCCTCTACCTTAACCTGTGCCACCACCCTTATGCAACACACCTAATGGCTTTGGGAATGAATTTCTCAGAGAAGAAAGTGGAGGGAAGGAGCAGAAAGGAAAAGTAAGAACACTGTGCACTGTCTGATACCAGCTGAAACTGATGAGTGCTTTTAGTCTTCCTGTCAAACCAATTGACCAACTGACAATTTCTTATTCAGTGTTTATTGTGCTTAGACATTTTGAAGTTAAAAATGGACTACAAGAGATATAAGAAAACATGCTTCCTGGCTTCCAGAAGCATCAGGGGAGATGGGATTAAGATATTAAATCACAACTAATAGTATCATAATAAGTTCATCCTGTGAGTGTTACAAAGATTTGTGCTTCAAAAGATAAAATTAGACTATGAATATACATTCTAAGCAATGAGCAAAGTCACAATGGCTTAACTCTCACCTATGTTAATAGTCAAATTGGAGTTTTGAAATAGGCCCAGGGAACCAGTGATTATGATGACAAAAAATTCTTAGTTGCTGGTTCTCAATTACTCAGTCCTATAGATTCTTCCTTAATGTGCATGAAGGCATAGGAGAATAATTTTATAAAGAAATGTTTATTCATTTGCTCAGTATAATATTTATTATAGTATATTACAAATAGAACAGGTGGTACAAATGCCACTATTATAGCCACCACAATAGCTCTTACTTTTATCAACAATTCTTGATAAAACTATGGAGAAATATTTATTTTCTTATGAGAATGGAGAGAGAGTCAATGGTACTAACTGAGGTGGGTGGAGATTGTCCTATGAGGACCAGACAAGTTGAATTCATATATGTGGCTTTGGTTTAGTTACTACCTCCTTTATATCACACAATCTATACTCTTCCAAAGACACTGAGAGAACACAATGAATATACAGAATTCCTAGTCATTGATCAAGTTCCTAGGTTAAGCTCCTCTTTATTTCTGAGTTTTATTTAAAATGTAAATTGGGGTCTCTGGTGTTCTTAGATGTTTTTAGAAGAACAAAGCGAGGTCCTTAGGGAAAGTCAGGCTTCACCCATGGTCCCATGTCTTGAGTCAACCTTTAGAATGATAGGTTTTTCTGGATGAAGCAATCTCTTTGGCATTAATTTAATGGGGATCTGCAACAGTTAAACAAGCATATTGGGAAGCAATAAATAAAGCAAATGAAAAAAAGATAGAA